TAGTGCTAAAGCGAAGCTGATAGTAAAAGACAGCAGTGGTGGTGGTCTTGCAGGTAGGCAAATTTCTGAAAGTCGAGCAACAACAGCTTTTGATCCACCGCCAACTTCATCAACTGATATCAATCAGTCGTCGTTGGTGCTGTCATCCACAATGAAACAGACACCCATGAACTCAAGTATCTTTTGCAATGACTATGCAAGTAACAGTTCGTTTGAAAGGACGAATATCAATGGTCAGTTTAGTGAGGATAAGCCAAGTGTAAAGGAGAGAGTAATTGTTAAATTGACTTGCATGAACCAAGGCATTTCTAGTTTCAAGTTACTATTTGAATGTTATTATCTTTGGTGTAAATTACTCTGTGCCTACGCTTGGTTGATGAGATATGTCGTGTGTTTGTTCGTCATCTATATTCTACGATACAATGACATGGGGGTGTTGCCGTTCAGATTTGAGGATATACCTGATAGAAAGAAGTCAGCAAATGAACTCTGCGACGATTTTCCAACCTAGAGCGTCAACCTGAGAAGGGTTGTAGGCGTACTGCTGTAAGTCCTACAATTCTTCAAAGCGTAGCGCATCAATGAGCAGTCCACTGTGCTTGGTGTGTGATTTTGTACATATGTTCATGTTGTATATACTGAATTGGTATCATCTTTCATCTGTCTGTTGATGATTTGTTTGTGTCTGGACGTCTTCCACTTGGATCATCAACCTGAGAAGGAATGTAGGCGCACTGCTGTAAGTCCTACAGTTCTTCAAGGGTAGTTTGTCGTGTCAGAATCCACAACATTTGATGTAGTGATTGTACATATGTTTGTGTTAAATAATTGTGTGAGTACCAATTATTGTAATTGTTGGTTAATCTCGTTTGTGTCCGGATGTTCCACAACTTACAATCGTCAACCTGTGAAGGGTTGTAGTAAATGCTGAGAATGTAGTAAAATGCTGAGAATTCCATTCTGTATCACAAGTACTGATTTGCAATTAAGCTTATGTTAAAAAAAGGGTTGTAGGCGTACTGGTGTAAATCCTGCAACTGTTCAAAGAAATTCCACCAAGACATGATCCGCGAGGTTCTTTGTACTATTTGTATATATGTGTGGTGTGTCATAGCAATTGGTGTTTGTTGGATTCATTGTGTTTACTTGTTGTTTTCGTACCTTGTTTTTATTGCATAATTTTGTTAAAATTTTCGTCGTGATTACTTCTGAAGTTCTTTCTTGTCTTCTACATCAGCGAATGAATTGATTGATGTTAGAGACAGCAGGTGGGGCGTATACGCCGGGGAGGCTAGGCTATTGCTGAGAATGAAATGCACACCGAGATAATTGTTAGCTGCGGTCCGACACGCCGGGGAGAAAGAGTGTAAACGGCTGAGGCTCGCATGCGCCACCGCTACTAGAACTGAGGCCGAATGAGTGACAAGAGATTTCAGTGGTAATTGGTAGTGAGTAGATAAGAGGATGTGCGTAGAGTATCATGAGGTGGTGCTATGGTCACGTTGCATTCTGCAAGAGTCATTCTAGCAAGTGGCGATTGTGTTGGAAGATGTCAAGAGGAGGTCTCTGTCTGGAGGCGCAGGTCGTCAGCGATGTGTGAGATTGTGCTGTGGGTGGTATGCTTGTGGTGTGTTGGCTTTTCTGTTTGTTTTCCATTTCAGCTCTGTCCGTGTGACCCAGGTTCTCGCAATGGCATCCAAGTCAACGTGCATTGGTCGTGAAGGGAAAAAGGATTGGATCCCTTTTTTGCCGGAGAGTGTCAATGGAGTTGAGGATTGAACGATCAATTCTTGGTTGTTTGCTTAAAATCAACTTCCCCAATTTTCGCGGAGGCATCAATACGACAGTCATCGTCTCATCGGTCGCTGTTCCGAAAGAAGAGTGAAACATCGTCAGAAGTAATACAATGATTTATTATTGTAATATTTGTTCACAGACCTTAGTTCAATTATTATTTTTATATGTTGGTGTAACAATAAAGAAATATCAAGCGGCCTATCGGTGTTTTGGTTTTTTCGTCCGTTATAACTAAGCGTTTCTGAAATCTTCAAGGAACAGCGTGGGCCCGAGCGTAGCAAGAGCTGGGCATTAACGGTTTATGAGACGTGGCTGACAGCGTATCTCTGAAAACCGCCCAGGCTGGAAATTCAAATCTCAATGCTGTGAATACGTAGGTCATCCCCAACTGATTCTGCTTTCGTACTCCTGTCTTAACTTCAGCAGATCTCAGGAAAATTTGATACCTAAGAGTGGATGGCGTTTCATCCAGTTGTGGCACTCAAAATGAGCAACCTACAGAGTTAAGCATGTGTATAAACGTGCGCGAAATTTTATTTTCCTTTTATAGTCGCACTGAATACTATGTTTGTTGTCATTCCGTAAATTGATGAAGGCATATGATGCTTCCGCTGCAGATCATGCAATACTTATTAATCGTCACAGACAGAGACTTCATGACAGCCTACCAGCCAGTACAATCTGGCCTTATCCGTTATGATTGTCGTGCAATTACTGTCTGCCTTAATGTGATCTCCTACCACATGACTCTGTGTTGGTGTTGTATTCTGCCTTCTAACATATAGATAAGTAAACGTAATTTATTGACCATTCTGTTCTGTATACCAACGCTGCTCGAGTGGCAGCTGCTTTCGTATCGTTTCCTCTGTATTTCAGAAACATAAAATGTACGTCAAATCACCTTGTGTTTTCAATTCTACGTAGCCTATATTGCGTACCATCAGCATCGATAACGAGAACTAAAATCTGTCGGAAAGTTTAATCTTACAAAATTCCGAACGGTACGTCACCAAACAAAAATACGGCCCTATACAAATACTTTATCAACGACCACAAAGTAGTAGTGAGGCTGATGCCACTAGAACTGAGTACAAATCAGACTATTCGACAGATCTACAGCAAGCGAAAGTTCTCACTGTATATATCCAGGGAAATGTTAGTATAAAATAGTACAGCAAGTATGTCACGAGTTTTTTATCGGAAGAAGTTGCCTAACAGGCCTTCCACCTCACATCCAGTTGGTATTACTTCTAGTGATGAGTTTACCAGAACTACATGCCTAAGGTGGACATTGAGTTCGATGGAAATCCTATATACTATTGCGATTTTATGAAGAATTTCTTAAACATGTTAGTCAGTCATGTTATTGGATATCGGTCTAAATTACTGCACTTTGTTCAGTACTGTGATGGTAGGCAAAGGATGTTATCAAGTGCCATGTTCCGTTAGCGATGGCGGAAGTATATCACCAAGCCTCGCGTTCAGGAGAAAGCTTGTTCTCACGTGGTTATTCTGGACTTTCCCCTAAAGCTGGCGTTGCTCTGTTTCTCAGTTAAGTCTTCTGTGTTTATTAAAATGAGAGCAATCAAATTACTAGTTATCCTGCACTCAAACGGATCTCATCAGCACGAAAGCATTGGTCACAGCCTGAAAGAATAAATGTAACTACATCACTTCTTACAGATGTCTTTAAAATTCTGGAGAATCAACTTATGACTGAAAGTAGTTTTCAGTTACAATTGAAGTTTTGTGCTTTTCATATGCTAATATGACACAAGAACACATAGAGGTCACCAAGGTTTAATTGCTGTCCTTTGAAGCAAATGCTTCACTCTAAATACTATCACGAACTGATGCTAGTGCAATACATTTATTGTTCAGTGCGTGTTGGCGTTGGGAGCAGCTTGGCCAGTTGACCTGGTTGAATGATGAAATTTGTACTCTATGGAAGAAGGATGTGCCTCTAGAAGATCTAGTTGAAGAACTATGGTCTCTTTCTTGGGATTCGCCCTGAAAGTGGGCCACGAATAAAAAGGCTCAAGTAGCGATGAAGAGGAAGTCAAATAAAGTCATGGAAAAGAAGAATATGTCTAAGAATTTCCAGCAGACGACAAGATGGAGTGTAGTGAATCACTGAGTTTTAATGGTCCGCCGCTTCTTAGTTAGTGGATAAAACAATATCCAGGTTTCACTAGATTGAAATTATGTTGAAACTAACTCACGCATTAGACCACATCCTTCGTGTAATAAAAATTAAAACAAGTCCGCAACAGCGACACGCAGGTTCCAGACGCAATTTGGATGCGTCTTACTTTCATGACAGCATTTCAACAGTTTGCATTTATTGTGGGTGTGGCTGATGAGATAGACGTATTTCATTTAGCAAAGGATGGTCAAAACAGCTAAAAACGAGAATCTGTGATGTAAGAAGCAGATACTCTAAATAATGTGAATCTAGTTCACATCGATTGACACGTCATGAGGCTGCTGGAACAAATCAGATCTATTAAGTTCATCTAGCAGTTCTTAAATAGCACATCTAAAGACTTTCAGAGAACATGGAATTGTGAACTGTTTGCTGTACTTCAGAGGGATGCCCTGAATCATATTCTGCGAAATCGACAGTGTGGAAGTGAAAGATTTTAGAACGAGAAAACATCACCATCTACCTATGTATAGCATATAGTATGAATTTTCAGAGTTAACCTGCCTGAAAAACCTGTCACTAGGAAAGAGCTAAGCTAAGTCGGTGGGTGACAGAGAATTTATTGCTGGGACATCTAACGGAGCGGCTGGAGAAGAAGAATAGGTCTATGTAGGTGATTAACCCTCACTGGAATCGAATCCACCGAGAGTTTTAATGCACAAAAATGTGTTAAAATCGTCAAAAAATACCAAAACAGGGGGTATGTACTAAAGACTTCAGGTATATAGTAGAAAACAGTTATTAGCAAACGTTTTTGTTTCATTTAAGTAAGTAATCCAAGAACAAATATTCGTGCATAGGTTTATATACGAAAAAATTACTTAAAGGTCTCAGCCTCATTTCCTAAAACACAAAATTCTTAGGTTTGTTCCTTTGATTCCTGAACAAAGGTACATGATGTGGTGGAGAATACAAATTTTTGCGCTATGTTCGTCTGACCGGTTGAGGGGCGGGTGATTAGCATTTAGCTGTGAGGTTTCTCTGATTATTTGACTAGATGAGCATTATTTGCATGAAGCACTGCTCGTCATTGCTTCAGAGATCAGTGGACTCACTTAACTTATTACAAGGTCTCTCACACCGCGACGAATCAGCTAGACATGAAGCAGCTACAACTATTCAACGAATATTTGATTCGTGGTACTTCGGATTCGGAAGCCCTGCCGTTGCGGGATTCCTGGAAACTATGGCCAACGATACCGGTGGTGCCACACTTGATACTTCGATGCATGGTCTTATTACAGAGCAAATCCCAGATCTCTTAAGGATTTCGTATACTGGTCCATCTTCTGATATACGGTCTGCTGCAAGAGATATTCTTCGTGACCTGAAGGTTTCATCGTTTTCATGATTACTGAGTTTTAGACAAAAAAGGGTTTCAGAATACCAAATATCACTTCACTATCGCCTAGTTTTATTCTCCCACTAAATGAAGTAGTTGAAATTTTAATGAAATAACTATTTAGATGGAACATATGAAGTGCCTAACGGATGAACCAAATGAAGGGGATATTCACTATACTGTAAGTATTTTTTCTTGATAGAATTCCGAAGTTAAATTCACTTGTTAGATTGAAGTTAGGGATTAATTTACTCTAATGTGACTTAGATGCTGCTGATTTGCCCTGCTTATATTAAGGTCTAAGTTATTTCGGAATATAACAGTACCACGGTATGTTTTCTTCTGAGAATTATCAAGTTTGTAATGTGATTGCTTGTTATAGTGGCTTCTGATAAAGTTTGTGTAAATTTGGCTAAAGTCGTCAACAAAGTGTATGGCTAATATAAACGAAATATCTTGCTTGATGTCAAAATGTGACTTGTCGATGTTTCGTTATTATATTGTGCAGTGTAGTAATAGATCGTCTGATCGAATGATTTAGTCTACTTGAATTTTGATAGTGATAATCAGTTTACTAACCTGTATAATGTTCTGTGGTTAATTCGTTTTTGTTTTGTAGACTTACATCCTATTTCGGGAATACTGGTTCCAATGGGGACGCCTAAGCAATTATATCAATGTGATGGGGTATCACCCCGAATATCTTGAATGCTTCATGAAACTGAAGGACCACCTCTTCCGTGGTGATTTACCATTACCTTATCCAGATCGTTACTACTTGGCAATCATTGTGAGTTTTGTGCTACAGAAATATGTGGGATAAGATTTGTTCTCACAAAACTATTATTACATCTGTTATTATTACTCGTCACTTGTGCTTTGAGTAGGATACAAGTCTTTAGCAGAACATCTTTATTTGACTCGATTTTGTGCAAAAACCTACAACTGACTCAAAAACTGTCGACCTGCTCGTATTTCCCCTTCGCATTATGTGCCCCATGTTACCCTCGGAGGCCCAGATTATCGCTTACCATTCGGTTTCCGCTCGAAGGCCTTGCAATCTGCTTAGTGTATAACCAACCCATATTATCTGCACAAATATTACTTATTGAGTTGCTGACTTGTTTGCTGCCTCCCAGAGTTCCTCGTTGCTTGCGGGACTGATCTGCATTAACTCCTAAATTAAAGGTAGGAAATAAAATGGTCGAATATGTTTCCCACTCCTCTTATTCGGGAAAATGCATCAGCTATGGTGGACTGATTACTGACGAAATCTCAGCGCCTGATGTGACATCTACCAGCTTACATTATCTCTGATGTGGAAGCCAAGTTAGGTTGCACCAATCGAAATGGGGAGAACAGGTACTACGTTAGTGTTGAAGATGGGGATTTTTGTCCTTGTACTAAGTGCTTCAGATTGATTTCAGAGTGATGAATACCTGCCTCGCCTTTTCGATCCTGAGTGGTTTTGACATCTTCGTCCATACCGTCTGTAGTTGAAACGATGCTTCTCAGGTAAGCAACGGAGATGACTTTCTCCAGATTAATCCCATTGATGGTGATTGTTGTTGTTGATGGTTGGATGTCTTCATCACCCCTGTCTTCTGTGTCCACTTGGATCCCTGTCTTTGCTGCCTTTTCTGTCCATTTGTTGGTTTTCACCTGTTAGTCTTCAAGTTTGTGAGAAAGGAGACATGAATCGTCCGCGAGATCCAGACCTACAAGGGTCTTGTATCGGTTCAGAGTGTGCTTATCTCCTCACAGCTTGTCGCATTGTCCAGTTCACTACACTCAAGGGGATCATGGGTAACATTAGTTTTGCTTCACTCGTGTTTTTGCTTCATGTGCTTTGGTGAGCTTTCTGTCGTGAATCACTTGACATTTTTTCATCATTACACAGTTATTGAGTGAGGTTTAAGAGTGTTTGCAACATTTCATCGGAGAGCGTTGTAGCAGTTGTCAAATTACTTCGCGATCGACACTGCCGAAGGCTATTTCAAAGGCGATGTTGAGGTAGGGAGTTGACTGACATTCTAGGCCTTGTTCATCGATGATGGGAAGTGTTACTATTTGATCCGTGCATGACTTTTCTCCTGAATCCAGCCTGTTCTGGGCGGAGTTTTCCAACTAGGTTTCCTTTCAAATCGCCCTCAGAGTGTTTCAGTGCCCCTCCATGCAGCGGCCTTTGGTGACATAGGTTGGTGCCCCCAACTTTTCCTGTTGACTGGAGTGAAGATGTCGTTTTCAGCTCCATCTACCATACTCGACTCTTACTCTGTCTCCAGGTCCTTCGAAGGCTGTCAACTTGATCTCGGAAACATCTAACACTGAATGGTAGTCTCAAGCTGCGTCTGATCCTTTCTTGGATCTTTTGTCCAGTTGGCTGCGTCTCCAGTTCTCTGAGTCTGAAATGAAGTCTACTTGGTTTTCGGATTGTCCATCTGGTGAGGCGCGCGTCTCCTTATTGAAATCCCTGTGCTTGTGCACACTGCCTCAAATCACCTAATTATTAAAGGCTCAGAGTCATCCATTCTCGTTCATTTCACCAAGTGTTTGTCAGCTCATGATGAGTTCTCCTTATGTGTTGTTTGCTTGCAGTTATGCTTGCATTCATATCACCCGTTAAAATTTTGATGTCGCCACCTGTCTGTGGTCTTATTTATTATTGCTTATAGTTGTATGTAGAAGTCTTGCGTCTTCTCTTGGTCTGCGTTGTTTGTAGTGTTGTTCGTAGCACTGTGTCATTGTGACTCGTTTTTATTAGAATGTTGTTATCGTGATACGGAAGAGAGTTGGGTCACTGACACCGTACGGGAGGAATAAGTTAATTTTCTTTTTTTCTGTGCTTGGTAGTTCTTTATAGATCGGTTTGTTTTATATGGGCTGACGTCACTATTCCACTTTCAATGTGATTTCATTTCTCGCGCTTGGAATGGGTTAGTATTTCGTTGAGCCTGTTTTCATCATATGATACATCTAGTGTTAGAGCACGTGATGCATGGTTGGTGTTCTCTCGACGTTCGTGTTTAATCCGTAATGTATGATTGCATTTGTACTACCTGTTAAGTTTTAGTTTGGTGCTTCCGCCGGTGGTTTTATTCGCAGGAATTACTCATCATTGTTGTTTCTAGTATCAGTCACATTTAATATTCCCTTCGTCTATAACTGTCAATTCACTTATCATCCTTGGTACAATACTCATTTGTATTGAGTTACCAACTCTCATATCTGTTTTCGGAGTTTCAGTATTTTTTGGTTTTGACTTTAACTGTGATGGGCGTTAAGTAGCATATTGATGTAGCACAGCTTTTCAATATTTTGTGCAGTAGCATATTGCTCTCCTCTTTTCTCACGATAACGGACGCTTAATTACTAAACCACGGAAATTTAATAATAAGTCTGACCTGGAGCAGTTTAACTCATAGTTTACATTGGTTTGCTAGGTAAATAGAATTTGCGAGTCGGTTAGTTTAGTTAGCCACCGCTCATTTGTATGTATATGTCAAGTAGAAGTGAAACATATACATCAGCCTATCTCAAATTTGGAGTGATACAGATAAGTAGTATTCAAGTGTTTACTACATTCAATCATATATTCTTCAAAGCCGTTTTGTTACTTAAGTGAAACTGTAAAATAACTTTAATTTAGTGGTCACGTGGTCAAGGAACATATTTTTTTAATTTCGTTACGTCTACCAATCACTCACAAAAGAAAGTATATTGTCTTAGGTCAATAAATTGACCACAGTTCAGAGATTTACCATTTAGTTGTGATGGACGTGAAATACTGAGTGGAAGTAGAGTTTATACAGAGTAACCAGACGGTGCTGTAAAGAAATGCTCTGCATTTTCAAATTTTATTTTGTTCACCAAAGTGCAAACCCGTTACTTGAATACTTATACTGTTTCAGGCAGCCGCTGAACAACGTTGTATTTACTTGGTTCTTCTCTTTGTTCGTCAATTTATCAGTTCTGGTGGTCCCTTGTCTTGGTTGCAAGGCGTACAATATGGGCCGCCGAAATGGCGCCAGTTATGTGGTCTAAATAGAGACCTTACTAATCGTCCTTGGAAAATTACAGCTGTAAGTTTGTTATATTATTCCTTGATAACTTTTCTCAGCTAGCTGGTTTAACCCTTCTAAAGTGTTGTTTAGATGCATTAATGTACTGTAGTGTTTTTTGAAAATCTCGGGATTTTTATCAGTTGAGTCTTTTGGTGCCTCTGAAGTCGTTCAACCTTCACGTGCTGTAAGTCCGTAGGTAGTCATTTAGGCTTTCATTCAAGCCAAAGGGGTTCGGGAGTAATATTTTCATATATTTTAAGTTGTTTTTCAAACGTGAAGTTACTGTTAAAGCTACACCATAATTCTTATTTTTCTGCATTTTTAGGATGATATATACAACTTAACCCACGGTGGGGATTCGAATCCGTCCAAAGAAGCTTTGTCATTATCAGAATTGATGCATGCTGTTGGTATTTTGTCTCAGGTGCATGCCTTAGCTTGTTTCATATTTGGTTGCGGAATTCGTCCTGAGATTGATAATTACGATGGTTTGATTAATTTAAACGAGGGAAACAGTACTAATCATGACGAAAAGACTTATGACAATTATGCACATTCGTATAGTCAAGTAAATAATGGAAATCCTCCTAGTAATCATCAGGACCTTGAAACTAGAGACAAATGCTTTTGTTCAATCGAACCATGGGATAATCGCGTAGGTCAATAAGCATCATTTGATCTTTTTTAATTTGTTTTCTCTGTTTAGTTTTTTTTAAGACGTCCAAGTTGTCTGTCTTCCTTAGATGAATATCCTTCATTCTTTTCGAACCGTAGTTAATATCATTGTTATTCATAATTCTTTTTGGATTTTGATAGTCCTCTAGTCATTAGGTTTATTTGAATTTCAAGGCTTAATTTATGAAATCATGGATTTGACAATGTCGAATTCTGAAAGATAAGGTATCTAAGTTTGTTTTAGCAAAAGATTGTCACTAGTTTTTCTTTGTAATACTAAGCAAGTGAGCAAAGTAGTGTTGCTTACAGAATACAGCTAAGTAGTAAAGAAATGACTATGTTTCATCTGTAAGAATACCAAGATATAAAAAGACTGCCATTTCAACAAAATACAGATAAAGCACCATTAACAAAACGGACCCGTTTTATTTCATTGACGGCGTATCAACTGACATGCATGTATGGGGTTACTGGTGTATTCAAAGTCCTTAAAAGGCGTGCTTGCATGCAATTTCTTTAGTAAAACTTTTGAATTCCCGTGGATTTAGAAACTGACAGGTACAAATACGCGAAAATACTGGATGAAATTAGTAAACTGAAGTCGCGATATCTATAGTTCTATTCTGAACTGTAATTGAGGCAATATTAAGAAAGAAACAAAAATGTAAAAATTTTTACGTAGTCTCTGTCACTAAGCAAAAAGAACAGGATTCTTCATTTCTTACTCTTTTGTCATTTAATTAGTTACTGGTTTATTTGTTGAAATCATTCTTTGTCCAGCCAGGGGGCTGTGAAATGCGTTATCAACCGATCTCTTTGCTGTTCTTAACAGCTGTAGCTAGAACGATATTGCAGCCATCACCGGAGCCGATGTGTCGAGGTAATCCCTAGCTGTTGTGAACATACACCAGTAAACATTCAAATAATGTTGCCACCGGACGTAAGTAGTTTTAGAAACAACCTCAAACAGGAATGTATCAGTTCGAGTTGCTACACTTCCAAACTACACATAAGAGTTCATGAAAATAGAATAAACAGACATAACGGTTAATATAGGAGTATAATTGGGCGATTGGTGGGAAGTGCTTCGAATTTCGGTTTTAAGGACTGAAAACCTCTGCACAACTGTAGAAAATCTAAAGCTATGTGAGTAAGAGTTTCTCATTTTTAACGCCTCTATCAGTCCATCTGAACAACCTTATGGGCTACGAAAAGACTTCATAGATTTATGACTTCGTTTTCATGTAATCACCTCGGGATCTTTCCCAACCTAATTGGTAATGGAGGAACGTGATGTCTCGGGTTGCATAACACATTTTCTAACTATCTTATTCAATAAAGACTTACTATGTCGACTTCATAAAATAATTTTAACTCTCATTTCAACGGTACTCGACTCGTACGTCTACCATATGCAAGTGTTGGCAAAAAGATATCAGTGTGTAAATCGTGTGATATTTTCTTATTTTTTTTTTAATAATAATAATAATAATAGCTTTATTCCAAAAACAGTACTCATGATACAGCAAGGAATTTTCAGCATTCAGTACAATATTGCATCTAATTTACTCAAAAACGACAAAAAAATTAAAAATACACAATACATAATAGTAATAAAACGATTGTTATAGCAGCTACGTAGCAAAATACTGTATGCAATACGGAGAAAAATATGTATAAAGTACAAAATTGTAGTAATAATAGTAATACCAACTAAAATAAAATAGAGTAACGATTTAAACGATAGAAAGTGTAACACCATAAAATACAGAAAGATGAAACGATAAAAGGGTAGATTCACTGTGCTAATTACATAGTAACTTGTAAGTTTCACGTCTAACAGAGTCTTCGTCACATAAAGTACGCGCTAAATAGGGTATTGTAGAATTTCTATACTTAGTAGTACGAGCATATATCTTTTTATATTGACTTCTCGTCCTACCTGATGAGATACAAGGGGATAGGTGTGAATAAAGGGGGTGCAGAGGGTCTGACACTATAGCCTTTTCCCATTTTGTACGGGAATTTACATGCCTCTCGACTATAGTATTAGCGAGCTCATGCAGTGGCAGACCAAAAGCTCTACTCACAGCATTTAATACTCTTCGTAATATGATATAATCTTTTTTGAGAAGCCCAGGAAAGATTAATGGAGAGCAATAGAGTACAATAGGTAAAATACAGGAGTTTAAAAATTGCAAAACTAAAGGTTGGTTGATACCTGATTGTCTTAACTTTTTAATGTAGAAGGTAAGACGAAACATTTTCTTAGAGATAGATAAGATATGGGATGACCATGAAAGGTCAGAGGAAAAAACTAGTCCAAGGTATTTAATGCTCGATTTGGTTTCAATTTCCGTACCATCTATGCTACAGGGATCATGCGAGTTAACTAGTTCAAGTAAGTCACGTCGATGCTTGAAAGTAAAGTCAAGCGCCTGACATTTGGAAGGATTTAATATAAGACCATTTGACTTGGACCAGTTGTTGATGTCAGTGGCTATTGCCTCAAATGCGAAGTAAGAAATGGCAGACTACTGCACATTAGATACGGGTGGAAGGCTATTTATCCAACCCTACGGCTGAAAATGCCAAACAGGCCTCCAGTAAATGTGCTGAGATTTTGTTATTATTCAGTTCATTTGTTATTGATGCAACCTTTGAAGTGATTGGGTCAATGAGCTTAGCAACCAAAACGCGTTTCCTTAAACTTGGAGTTTATGTAGGCAGCCAGTCATGTATCATTTCGCATTTAGAATACTAAGATTTTTTGTCACTGCTCTCAGACAATTGCATTTGGTGGGACTTTTCAATTGACATAACACTGCCGTCGGGGTTGCTTATGTTTTTTATGACACATTTATTATTTGTATTTACATTTCGACTAAATGTGTGGTAGATGAGTGGTCACATTCCCAGATGGTATTTACATTAATTTTACATGTGAATACTGGGTTTCTTAAAGAACCAGTCAAACAGTTATAAAATAGTATATTGTGTGCAATAGGTCTGTATGGATAAATTTAAGGAAAAACATGATCAAATACAGATTATGTTTTGTGAATAAGTGGGAATTTGCGTTCCTCGTCTTATATTTATCTTTCATTTTTTTGGCATAGAGTTTTAATTAGTTAGTTTGTTTTCAGGTTACGGAAAATGGCAATGCAAATAGTCAGAACTCACATACCGATCAGTCTCTCGATGAAGACAAAAAGTTATCAGCAAGCAAATTGCTGAAAATCATTCAGACAGAAGATTCAACTTGGGAGGAAGTTGCAGAAGATATTGTCGCTGAACAATTCCTAGCTGCAATCAGATCTAATGTTCAGTGTGAGTTGTTTATCGGTCTACCAGTTTCCCGTCTTACTGTTTTTCTTACTGCTTTTTCATCATAATTCGACAGCTTGAGATATGTCGTTCTGGTATTCATGGCAGAATATGTATTGATGTTCCCCAGACATACCTAATGTGTGAAAAAAAAGATTTTGCTCTGATACTTGCGCTTAAGTAGGTAGACTATGTTTGAACTCTTTACCTATTGGTTAATACACGAGAGTATAACCTGCATTTTCAAGACGTGTAAGAAATATGATTCACAGGAGTTACATTTATCTGAACTAATGATGAGTTCTGATTTCAGCAAGAGGTATTTCACAAACTAAAATATTACGAAGATAGAAATCGATTCCAATTATTTTGGTTGTGTTTAATGGTCTGCGCGGAAAAACACGAATCTGATGACATTATAAACGAATATAGTTCCTAACATCGTTAGTGAAGCGTTTACTAATACACTGTGAAAAACTGAGTTTGGTGACTACAGTCTCGTGTGGTCGACTACAGTCACAGTCATGCAGTTTTACCGTTTCGCTGATTAAGCAAGTCTCAGGAATCAACAAATACAACATTTGGCTTAATCGCTTTCTCCGAGGTATAGACTACAAATTAGAAATTAGAATACACTTGGCGTATGAGCATTGTTTCGTCTTCGTATCACGTATTTTTTCCTTTCATAGTTTTCCTAGCAATCAATAGAAAAGTGTGTTGAAATTTGAACGGTAGGTGAAGGAAGGTGGAGATGTTCATCCAACAGAGACAATTGTACTGGTTGGTGGTCTTAAGCAAACACTTTCTCGATATCCCTAACATAACTGTGTTCTGCATAGACAGTACATTTCAAACCGTTGTGTACGCAGTCCACAATATTTATTTCGAAAATGTACACTGTTAATCTTATTTAGTATTTTTTTCATTGTGGTTTTTTAATTAAAGATGACTTATTCTTACTTGTATGTAATCTGTTTAATGTATTGTAATGCTTGTTTCATTTTAATTTTTTGTAGTAGATTCAGAAAACCTTTTCCCGTCTAGTGGTATGATGAAGCATATTGAAAAGCTATCTCATCATCCACTTATCTCTCGTTTCTTGGATTCACCACAATCTGGTTACAAAAACTTTGATACTCGTCCATTCCATGTTGCAGTAAGCGATAAATACCCGCACACGTATTTCATTATTAAATTTTGTGCACACGTCGCAAAAAATTAATCTACAAGTTTCAGTTGACTTTTTTAGCTTATGATGTCTTTCAGAAAAATTAGCGTAGAGTGGAAGATATGTATTTCTAAAACTGGGTGGAATTTAACTTATTTAGACCTCGAGTATAAGTCATATTAACTACGCACTATCTCATTATCTTAACTGTGAGGCGTGATATCTCCCTCGAACGTCTTCCCCAGTAGTCCTAGTATTCGAATTTTTTCTGCTACGGTACCCGTTACCCAATAAACTACTAAGAGATGACGATATACTGCCTAACTGTGTATGTATGACAAATTTTGCCATATTCAGGTTGATTGTATCATCCAGAAAATATCTTTCATTTAATACATATAAATCATACGATTGGACAGGTTTTTCGGCATGTTGTGTAATGCGCAGATTGTCAGTCAAATTAATGGAAATTTTTACATTATAAATGACAGTTATCTCTGCATGATTGCGGAGTGAAAATAAACATTTTATGTCTGGGGATGGAACGCTTACTAGGATGAAATACATTATTTATCAAGTTGTCTTCTTCATTCTACTGCTTCCCATTGATTATTATTTTTCACCGATAGTAGGGAAAAGTAGAACATAATTTTGATGGCGTCAAATTTGAAGGATACTGTGTGTGTTGGCGTATGGATTATGGTTCATTTACTTCCCAGCTTTACTAAACCAGATTGTTAATCAATGCAGGTTGGAATTTACCTATCATTTTTGTGATTTAATCTTACTTTATTTTGCTAGGCAGGCTTTCAAAAATAGATTCTATTTGTTTAAAAATACCAGTCAGTTCTTACTCTAAATGAAACTTCCACATAGCACTTGATCCTTTTCAATTCATTTTCAGCCTGTCAAAATTCTCATCGCCTTACAATAAATATTGGGTTTTGAATGATTTGGTTCTTTGCAAATTTCTCTTTTTTCCAGGAATATTCATGGCAAGAGGAAGGCTCGGCTTTAGCCGATCGTTTATGTACAGAACTTGGCTCACTTTTGGACGAAAAATTCCGTAATGCATATGATTTGACATATAACACGTATGTATTCTGTTTTATTTGAAATAACCGCGTTATTCGCTTCATTACCTCTTATACTAATGTCACAGCTGGCAGTGAGCCATCGCTTCTTCTTTTTTGAAACTGACAAATACTTATTATTATTTATCATTTCCTTGACTTCTACTCCACATCTGCACTTCACCTTGTTCCCTGAAGTCTTCTTCAGCTGGCCCAACGATTACCCATAATCTTTCATCTTCTGATATAAGAATAGAACTTGTGCACTGTGGTAAAGTGTAATTCCATTGTGGGTAAAATTTATGCCGATAAAGTCTCACAGTGTTATTCAGTAATGTTGCAGTGAATATTATTGTCTTTCATATCCTCCTCACGCAACTTGCATGTCACTGTCGGACACTCACTTTGTCATTTCTCACTCAGGTTCCACTCGAGGTATTTTCACGTAATTTCACCCAGCGGTCTTCTCAGCGTATGTTTGATCCATCTCCATTTTCTTCTGCATATTTTTTGAGCAATAGGTTCCTCGTTGGTTCGATCCCATAGTTTCTTGTTGCTTATTCCATCTAGCCATTTAATCATTAATATGGGTCAAAGACGGCTATTATTCAAAGTCTGAAGCCCGTTAAAAATGCTTCTCCTTTCGCACACACGCGCAAAGTTCTACGTTGAAGCTAGTCAGTCAGTCTCATGTTGCTCCAGGTTTCTGACCTATATAGAAGTGCTAACCGACTGGACATTAATGTTTGGAATCCGAATTTCGTCCTTTATTCTGATTATTGCAGGGAATTTTCCAAACTGATTTCAGAGTGATGAATGTTTTTCTTGCCTTTCGGATTCTGGTTTCAACATCCTGACCCGAGCTGTTGCCTGTAGTTGAAACGATGCTTTCTAGATGAATAAAGGAGTTGGTTTCTTTCAAAATTCTCCCGTCGATAGTGATTGATGATTCCACTGGCTGCTTCTGTAAACTTGTTGGTTTTCGCCTGTAGATCTTCGATTTTGTATGACACTAGACACAAGTCATCAACAAAATTCAGATCTTGTAAAGTGTTCTCAACGGTCCAACGTATTCCTTTATTGTCGCTCCCCACGTCCGATGTGCCACTCACAATCCAGTCCAACACAATTAGGAATATCACCAGTGATAGTAGTCAGCCTTGTCTTACTCCTGTCTTCACTTCGATCGACTCTCTGAGTTTTCTGTTGTGGTTCACTGGATATATGGAATTGTCATATGGCTGTTGAATGAGGTTGATTAAGATTTGGGACACTGCGATCCGTAGTGTTGAAGTGGTTTCCAAAAACCAATTACTTCACGGTCGATGCTGTGCTGTCGAAGGCCTTTTTGAGGTCGATGAAGTTGAGGTAGAGGCTTGACTGGCTGGCATTCTATGCTGTGTTCGATGGTGATGATGCGAAGTGTTGCAATCTGATTCGCGTATGGCTTGCTTCTCGTGAATGCAGCTTGTTTCGGCTGACACAGCTGTGCATCCAGTGCATCTCTCAGTCTCTCCAGGATGACACGACTTAGTATTTTGCTTGGTGTGGACAAGCGCGTGATTGCACACGTGTTCTTGCAGAGACCTGATTCACTATTGTTTGGTGGTTTGACAAGGTAGCCTTTCTTCCAATTAATAGGGACCTGTCCTTCCTTACAAACGCTTCGCAACAGTGGAGTGATTACATCCGCTGCAATCTCTGCATCAGTTTCGGCGCTGTCACCACCCTCCCTCCGCTGTCATCCTTTATCTTCCAAATGTGCTTAGAAAGGCATTCTATGTCTTAAGTCTTCTTTCCTCTTGTAACGGTTGTACATGCTTCAATAAACATCACTTTTCTGAGTGATGTGGTGTCTCGCGGAGTTTGCTTTGATGGGTGCAGTGAAGTTATCTATTGTGGGTTTGTCCTTGAATTCCTGAGTGTTGAACTTGAATCTTGCCCTATCTCCAGTTGTTCTGAATGCTTTCAGCTTGACCTCGAGGTTTCATTGCACTGGACAATGGCGTGAGCCCACATCTGCTTGTCTCCTCGACTTCATGTCCAGCTGACCGTGTGTGTGTAGTTTCTTGAGACTGGGTGAGATGAAGTCGAGTGCATCCGTTGGGTGAAATCCATTTCGCCTTGTGTATATCTTCGTGCTTGTGCACGCTGCGTCGAGTCACCAAATCACTGAATGCGCAGAAGTCTTCGAAGAGTTTTGTGTTCCCAATCATTTTCCGAGGACCTGTCGATCCATGATGAATTCTCTTCTTGAATTGTCTACTCGCTGTTTAGCATTTAAATGACGCATTAAGATTTCCGCGTTGGCATTTGGGATGTTGTCCATCAGTGTATGCATTTGTCTGTATGAATCTTTCTTTTTCCTTTGTTCCAAGTTGTTTGTAGACCTGTAGCATTGGATAATTGTAAGCGTCTTTTCTTCCTTTTGAGTTGAATCTTGCCATCATAATCCTGTTTGGTATTGGTTCCCACTGCATAAAGAGCTACAGCCAACTTTCCCCCTTTTCTCTGGTTTAGGACGAGCTAGAAAAGTAGTGAAGTAGGCGAGGTTAAACTAAGAAATACTGAGGTATTATCAAGCGGAAAGTCTAGATTATTGAAGTTTGTTACATTTTATCACATAATTCGCTTTTATGGGGTTGTGTTGATGAAGGCTTGATTGATTTCAAGTCGGAATTCATCGCTCACTAACATTATTTGAGGATTATTTACAACCAGTGAGCATTAAACAGGTGTTTCTTCGAAGTTTTGAACTTTTTTCCAGTGCACATCCGGAATCCCAGAACGTTAACGTTACGCGACATGAAACAGGTTGCCATTTTGCTTACTGAGTTGGGATCCAGCAACCCGTGAACTCAGCATTTTAATGTTGACAATTAATAGTTTTCAGATGATCGTCAATTCCGTAGGCGATACTTCTGCGTAAACCAATTTTCGCGAAGTGCAGTTTTATTTGGGATATAAGTGAATGTTAAAAAATTAAGCCTATCAGTATGTTTTAAGATTAGTTTATGAAGCTGGAGGTGTTTCCAAAGCTGGAATCGTTCAATTGGAACAAACTTGTTGAATGTTCATATCTCCAGCTTCCAACTTGTACTTGGCTATGAAACTATAAGGTACATTCGGACTTCTATGCAAGCCTTCCTTCGTTTTCATCGCAAACCTAAATAGTGAGAGGGGAAGTATATGTCATTTTTATTCTTATCCCATTCCTCAAGGGATCCACTTGCAAACGGTGGGTGTATTTTGTTGCTATTCGTATCACCAACTGGTAATTGCATTAATGAACACATTATTATTAACTGTTAAATCTAATGTATTTTAATTTTGACAGTTTGAATAGTATAACAAACGTGGATACTTCTCTCTATCGTCGAACAGTGTGGAATGAAGTTCAAAGTTTTTTTGGTATTTGTCATGACGACTTTCGTTATGATCGTGTAGATCGTTTGCTTACTGTTTCACAACGTGCCTATTTGAAACTATGTGCCACTTTTCCAGTAGCCGTTTTTTCAGTTCAAACTCTCAAATTTGAGAACATTTTCCCAGCGCTATCATCTTCTGAAATGGTAAGCAGTTACTCATTTTACCTTTTTTTAGTAAATTTTAGTCAGTGCATTGACTTTTCATTTCATGGAATTATTTTATTAATGGAAATGACAATAAAACAAATAGTTTTCTGAGTCATTGTTACGTTTTCAAAAGTTTACCTTTCCAAGTGATACGCATCATTGTGTTTTATTCCAATTGTATAAAGCGTGATTGTCTGTTAATTTGTAGACTCAAAAGTGAATATCTAATTTCTTTCCCGTTCTATTTTAATGTTTTTTGTTTGTTTTCAGATTCATGTTATCCTTATGGTTATAGAAGCAAGGCAACAGGCTTGTTTACTGTATGTTCTTCGGGCTATTTCTGAATGTCAGACTAGAAGTAATTAAATATGTACTTCAAAATGATTTCTTAACATGTTTGTTTGTCTAGTATCTTCCTACAGTAAGTTGATTTTCTAATGTTTTGATGCATGTTTATTGAAAGTCTCTATGTGCATTAACTCAATCATATTGGTATCAATTCCGGTTTTGTATTTTATGAATTAGTTCTTATCTCTTCCGATATTGTAGTGTAACTTATTACCTATTTATTTTTATTCGCTATCTTTTCTATCCGCTAAAAAGTTGGTATAAAGTTCTCAGTAATGTACGAGTAAAATTTGTGCACTGTGATAGCATATAATTCTGCATTAGACAAGTTAATTTGATGTAACATAATGGTACAGTCTTAATATCTGGATGACGTTTATAGCAAAATTTATTGCTCATAATATCAATGTGATATGATTTGCGTGTCATATCTTGAGGAAATAACGTACATGCACACAGTGTGAATATCAGAAACCGTGTGAGTTCTCTTAGGTCACTGAAGGTGAGACGTTTGATTCGGGTGATAAAGCGTATTTATAAGCAATCATCATAAGCTTCATACACTTGGTTCCCTCCGTAAATTTCTAGAAAGAATGGCTACATATGCAGCATAAAATGACATTTTATTTCACTAGTTTTCATCAACTGCAAACTACCTGAAATTACAATAGTTATAAAGAAAGAAACAATTACATACTTCAGTGTTTGAATGTAAGGAGAGAAAATATTGTAAAATTTAACGCATCCGAAATGTAAGCACTACAATTTTAAGTTGAAGTTACCATCATTTTATATGCTTTCATATTAGGAAAGGAGAGGAGGGGGAGGAAAAGACAGCAGAAAAATTTAATAAACAGTGTTAGCGTGTAGGTTTACACAGCAACTCAAGAAGGTTGTACTTCATAAAATTGAAAACTTGCTCAGGGAGCTGAAATCACTAGTATGGATGACTAATCAGTGTAGTCAGAAGGCAATTACCGAGGCAGGGAGAAACTGATTACACTCCCTTTCCATATGCTTAGTTTGATTGCCTGAAATTGCTTCACCAATCGTAGTGAATTTTCTGTCCTTTGAATGTTTCATATTTTAAAGGATTTGGAAGTCTCGACTAAATGGCTTGTATCCACGTGTCTGTTAATTGCACTTTGCGAATATGTGCGTCGGTGGAACAGTGGTTAGGACTCTCGCCGACCATGCACATGGTCCGAGGTTCGATTCCCTGCCGATGCACATCTGATATCTGTGGTCGGCCTGTAAAATTTGGGCTACCGATATCCATGCTGAAAATCCCATACTTGTACCAAAAATACTATGTGGAATCAAGCTGTAATCAAAAACAAAAATAAAAAAATAAATATCTGCTTCCCTTTATACATAAGTTTCTTGGGATATGCTCAGAAAACCGGATAGAAGCTCTTCTTTCCATCCTTCCAATGAAGTTGCTCCCACAAGTGCACGTAAATTTATAAACACAGTCGAAGATGACATCAGCAGGGTACTTGTCCAGTATAGATTAGCTTATAGAGCACGTGGTACTGTACAGCATAACGAGCTTAGCTGCGCAAGGAGGCATCTTTTTATTGCTGCTTTCATTCTCCTGTCAATCTTTTGTGATACTACTTCTCCTTTGAATCGAAGACAAATAAACACTTTCTTCTTTGCAATAGTTAGATGTTTCGTTTTCTCGTTCTTTCCTTTGCTATACTTCCGGGTAAATTCCTTTGGGTACCCATTTCCCTTATGCTTTCTCATCAAAACCTAATTCTTCTTCCATCGTGTTGGCTCTTTCGTACAGTGTCTTCTCTAATTCACCCCTATAACTTATAGGACTGAAGTTGTTATATAGTGAAGATATTGTCCAGTCCAGGTTTATTTCGTATAGATGGACTTTGTGGTTGTACTATCATTTCTTATTCGTACATGAAAATCCAGGAAATTAAACTCATCATTATGTTCATACTCCATGGTGAATTTAATGTTTTGGGTGAATCTCATTGAGGCGGTCAAGTAGTATAGATGCGTGATTCATGTCGTTATAAACAATAGACGTATCACCAACATGTCGGCGATAGTAGATTGTTCCATTTTTAGCAGAACTCAGTCGCGTGTGTTCGATGCAAGCGATGACGCCTGCCAGAATCCTCAGCAACACCTGTAATCTATCGGAAGTTCAATTAAGCATAGTTACATTAGTAACCCTATCTCTGGGATTCAAGTCTTACGTTTCGGTTAGTAAGGCAGCCGTCCTCCATAGAGTTGAAACACTGGCTTTAGAATTTTTTTAAAGAATGAAAGTCAGATCTCAGAGGTGTTAACAAGATTATACGAGAAACGCATACAAATATTCAGGAGAATGACTGGCTTCTCCAAGAGTTTCGACAAATAGCGTCCTACAACTTTTAAATGATATCATTTCGAGCACCTGTCCGTAAAAAAAGCGCTTAATTTTGTCGAAAGCCATTAAAGTCCACACCCGTTCTTAGTTATTACCGCCTTATTTCACAGGCGATCCTTAGTGTTTGAGTAATTGGTTCTATAGGTGCTGAGTTTTTGTCGTACAGCCAGTAAATATTTGTATTATTCTTACTTTCACTCTTTTTCGAATGCTTATAAATTAATTTACGTTTATGTGAGCCAACAGTCTACTTTTTTCGACTTTTCAACTTCGTTTGATGCGTTAGGTAGTTGCGTATCTATGAAGTTTAATAATAACACCGAAAGGAGTAGTCAGTGGTATTTAATGTTTCAAGTATGATTGTGCAGTTAAACTAAGGTAAAAAAATTTCGTCTTGTTTTATGACTACATCATGAAATGTAAGTAGGCATTAAAATCTTAGGAACAAACTATTCATTTATTCTATCATTAATTAATCTCATTTTTATCCTCTTTTCTAGTTGTCTGCAATTCTTGACTGCCGAGACGCGTCACAAACTGTTCATAACATAATTTGGATTTTTCATATTTATTTTGTCTTCTGACTCCATAATGCATTTGCACTCACTCAAAAGGCTTTCATCTTTGAAAAAATCTTTATACGTCTACATAATATCAGAGGTTTCTTGAGTTTGAGGTTACAATTTCGCCGGTAGAATTCACATGACAGTTGTGTGTTAGCGCCATCATTTGTCTACAGTTTTATTTCTCTCTTAGTTCTCACCATCCTTTCATTACTGGTCAACATAGTTTCTGCAGCTTATTTTTACTACAGCTCACTACACCCGGTATCGAAGCATAACGATGGCAATATTGAGAAACTTCATGTCAGTCATGTGTCTGTAATTAGTGGGTATGCTTTATCTAAGTGTTGTGTTGAACTAGCTCAAACTCCTTATCTTATTATTATTATTATTATTATTATTATTATCATTATCCATATTTTTCTCTGTGATTTTCTGAGGTGGTGTTGTGAGTCTTAGTGTGTTATAGTGTCTCGTTATTGAAAACAGACACTCACGTTCTCCACTTCACTTTATTTTACAGTTTCATCATTTTATTCTATTATATATCCACGTCTGTCTGCACTTCATCTTAGGAGGCTTTTTATTTCCTCTCGTTCCACCTTTTGAAAATTTTATTCCATACTGCCTTTTCAAAGAACTTTATGCTTTTAACGTCGTCATGTCTTTTCCTGTAATCATGATTTTATATTGGCATTCACACTAACTCTTTGGTTTCTAATAGCATTGTAATAAATGAGTTTTTATTATTCGCTCTTTTTATCCTTAACTATCTATCCTGATTTTAATATTTCCCCCAGCCCCCCCCCATATCTTTTAATTTGTTTTTAACTCTGATGGGGAATAAAAGGGAAACATTTAACTTGTTTATTTACTTGTATATCACTGATCTTCTTGATTAAATGGTATTTACCTCATTGTGCGTGTGAACTTATTCTTCCCTAACTTTTATGTGTATATGTGTCCTTCAGTTGTCAGTAAGGTTCCCTTTTTTTAGCAGAGTTTGTGCATATGTGTATGTTTCCTTATCAGTGGACAGTTTTGAATAGACTTAGGCTTCAGTATTTTTGCTTTTCACACTTCTCATATAGCTTCTGTCATCATTTTTGGTGCTGTTACTTCACTGTGAAACTTGTAAAATTGTTATAGAAAAAAACAAGATCCAATGGCTACTGGGAGGAAGTGTCTTCTGTTTTTTTAAATTTTTATCGCCATCTGATGTGTATAGATGTATAGCACTCCGGTTAGTTTTTGTCTTAAGAAATCCAGTGATCATGGTGACATGAAATATGTAAACAGTGTATAACTCTTCATGGTTGACTTATTCTGTTATGTGTTTGGTGGTCGTGAGGTGTAAGATATGCTGAGTTTCGTGACTTGTTAGTAAGATGTTTAAAGCAGAAATATTTGTAGATTATTCCAGCTGGTTTGCATCAGTAGTTTCTATCAAGATATCCAATTATCGTAGGTTTGTTATAATGCAGCTAATTGTCACTTGGTAGTCGTTAACATGGAAGCGGTGGTAAGCTCAGTTTTCGGGAAGTAATTCTATTTTAGCTCAAGAAACTATCATAAGAAGTGTTACGAAAATATTGTATAAAAGAAAAGGGGTTCAACAAATAGTTACTCTTTTCGGCGATATCATTCTCAAACTAATTATAGTTATTTTGGGGGGATGATTTTAACGTTTTTAAATTTATTCACATATCTATCCAAACTATAGTAGAATGTGTTCGATGAACTTCTATTCAAACTTTACCTAAATATATGATTTATGCGATGCGTTTTTGACACGAAGGGATTCACGAGTCATTTAGCTTTGTCATAAATAATGTGGAAGTACTGGTTTAGCCGGCATCCAGTGTTTTGGTATAGAACTCTGCGTAAAACGGTAGGTAAAAAATCATACAAAGGTCTTGAGGAATCTCGAATATTTCATTTTTATTCTTAGAATGCGATTCTACAGAATTGCATTGCACAAATAAGTGTCGGCTACATAAGTCAGCATTTAATTGTTGTCCAATATGCTGTATTAGATTAGATTAGTGATGATAACGATTTTCGGCGCTTTTACGGAAGATGTTTTCATATTGACGGGAACGTGTGAATTTGTTTACTTCGTCCTTATAGATTGTGAGATGTTAAATACATTTGCAATACTGTGGATCCATTAACTCAGTTGGATGTAGCGACTGTCCCTACTAAAGCTAAAAATGTATATCAGGAAGTGATTTATAATTTAGTGCTTCGTGGTTGGTAATGTCTTGAAATTTAGACGATCTGCCATCACTACGAAAAATTTCCATGAATGATTATAGTGTCTGCTAAGTCTCGCGTAAGGTAGTGTTTCACTAACTTTTCGTCACCCAGTCTACCTGGTTTAGGTGTTTACAGGCATCAGCGTAGCGGATAGTTTTCTGTGTAATGTTCTCTGAAAAAAATAATAGGTAATTAGCAGTTATAAAACTGTTTCAAAGCAGCACTAAATGTTAAGTTATTAAACTCACGTATGAAACAAGGGATAGATCTACTAATTAATTGAGATTGCGAGTGCGAAGTGAAGAACGAATATGATGTACTGTGTCAGTCAATTATAAAGTTGTCTATTAGGAATTGAGTTGCGTCAGTCGTGTGGTTTGGAAATTAACTGAATTAATCTGGATATGCTAACTCACTGGTTGATAGCCGTGTTCCAAAGTGGAAGACAAGTGTTGTGTATTAGTAGGGGTACTACTTAAGTGGTGCTATGTTAATCCGAAGTTAGTGTGGAAATCTGCTGCAGTCGTCATAAAGAACAAGATCTTAATTTCCAGACTTTCTACAGAAGATTCCTTCAGTGTTTCGATACTAAAGATCAAGTGTCTAGAAAGATTAAGGAACTTCGGTACATGACGAATGCACCACGACGAGACTCTTACCCCAAAAGATGTAGAAGGAGATGGATTGAACGACCGCTGAAGAGATCGTTGCGCAACATTAGATTGCAGGCCCTTAGAGTATAAGTTGAATGGGAAATGGTGAGTTGGTTGTCTGAGGGTGATATGAAGGAGATCGTGTTAGGGGAGATGAAAACTTATGGACAGTCGTGGGGCCGTCTAAAGAGGACTGCAGGGAATGGGATGAATTAGAGATGTGATGTTGAAACCGTGTTGTTCATCCGGAACTCAAGGGAATAATAGTAATGTCGCAAATGAGTAAAAACTCAAACCGAAGAGAACGTAGTTTCCACATCAATGGTTGATTGGTAAGACTCAGTCTCATATTTGGAATCAGTTCACTGATCTTCTAAACTTTTCATCAATAATACTTAATCTAAATACTTGATCAGTTGGGTTAAAATAATTTATCTGAAGGTGACAGGCAGAAGTGAAGTAAAACTCTAACCACTTAATCTAAAAGAATAAATCGAACATAACAGTACATTTGAGAGTATTTAATTTTCTTAGGGGGACACTGTTTATAGGCTTGCGATTTGGGGGTGATATTGCAGCAGAATCTTTAACTTAGTGAACTGCTTTCGGTGTTTCATATCTGCAGACTAATTTTACAAGCGAGAATACTTTATCTCCCAGTATCAAGAATAAATTATAACATTTACGTCAGTCAGTCAATTGGATTGTACATCAGCAAAGATTTCATGCACGAAAGAACACTGAATACACTTGCGCAAACTATACAGGAATGTAACCACTGAAGCAGGCTGAACTTTGGACATTCAAATAGTTACCGGATTTATCGGTCTGTTTCAAACTAATGCAGAGAGTGCGCTTGGTATCACACTGTTTAATGAAGGTCTTGGCTAGTCTGTTCTTTCATCCGCCATGCACCAGCTTGAATTTGCATTATTGCCACGCTGTTTTCTATGTGTTCATCCTCTCGCTTATTATACAGATTGTGATTTTGATAATTTATGAATGCTAATTTGTTTACTTCCTGTTTTAACCTCAATGTAATTTCACTTTAATTTCACACGCACTGTTACTTATTTACTCACTTGCTATTTGGCTTTTTACGTTTATTTCTAACATGGATAAATACTTTATTACGCAATGCCACTTTGGATATATATATATATACATAATGTTAGTTACGATCTAAATGTGTTTATGACAATATTGTATCATGTTTTTACATTATCAGGTTGTAACTTTAACAAGAATATGTTCTGTTATTAGTTGTGATTGTGAATACTTGTGTAAGATGTAATTCAATCTTTTTTTATTTATCAGTCACATGTGGGCATGATTATGTGTATTGAAACGTTATGTTGTTTATGTTGTTGGAAGGATTTCCTCCTATGTATTCATGTTTAAATGTACACTGATCATAATGCCCTCTTTTAATTCACATTCTCAAAGTTGAATATTCATTTTGTTGAAAAACTTCAGTTGTCTGATTGATTTAGTAACTCTAAGAAGATATCCTTTTAATATGACTTACAAGCAGGTAGGTAGGACTTGCAATCCTCTTATTCCTTTCGATTAACAAAATATCAGTATTAAATAGTGTTTGTATTCCCAAAGAATGATTTGCTCAGTGGAAGTGAATAGCTTAGGCTAAGTCAACAGTAATTTTTCTATTGAAGGTGAAGTTTATCTTGAGTTAACTCAATTTGTATTTCACATGTGTCCATAGTTTAGTGGTATATTTTCATTAGACTATTCAACAATAATGTTCCTTCGTTTAGCGATAGTCTCAGTCAAAATCAAGTGATAGTGTAGGCTGGGTTTTGTAGTTTAGTCATTATAACAACTAGTTGGGTTTCTGTTCGCATTTTTAATTTTAATCAGAATGCTTTTATCACGACCTGCCAACTTCTTGTTGCCTTAAAGAGGACGGGATCAGTTATTCCAGAGATCCATGGGATCCATGTTTCAATGTGTCTGAGATTTATACAAATTTAACTTTTGCATATATACCTACTCTAATTCAACTGTTTGTATGTCTAATAGTT